CCTCCCGCCCCAGAGGTGCGTTGTAGGGTAGTAAGCTCTGAATGGAGACTTCAACTAGATCTTTATCAGATTTGATTGATAGATAAGTAGTAGTTGTAGAAATAAACATTTTCTGCTCTGACGTCACTTCAGCTGTCTTGATCTGGTCTCGGGGATTTTTCCATAGCAGTAATATTCCAGTGAACCGCTGCATGTTTCGCAAGTTCGAGCAAATAGCGGGTAAAACCTTTCTATTTTTTAATATAAGTATTTTGCATCACCATTGACATAACTTAGATCATTCATGAGGCGTGCTTTAATCCTGATTGTCAGGAACAGCCCAGCCTGAGAGCCATACAACGTCCCAGCAGAAAGGCCGAGATACTCAATAAAATTCTCCCCTCAATGGAATTGAACTCAAATCTTCTCCATTCGGCGGCTAAGTGATTTACCGCTTCGCCACAGACACCGGTAACCATTCAGCTCAAAATTTTCAGCTGAACCCCCCCCTAAAGATAGCTCGATATTGCATCGTGAAATCATTATACACAGCACCACACAATGGAGACCTTCAATGGTATGCGAGTTAATAAAACTGTCTGTATTGGGGAAATATTGTGAATAATAACATGGGATTGTTGTGCATTCAACTATTGCCAAACACATTTCCCAACGGGAATCAATAGGCCTAAAGGTGGATTTTTTTTCTTCGAAAGACGGATTTATGATGCTCCATTGCACTACCCTGTTAAAGCAGTGATCCTCGTTGAAGGATAAACTAACCGAATAGCCGGATCTTATTATTCGGATTTTCCCCTGCTCCAAAATGTGCTGCTGAGTAAACCGCTATTCCAACGAACGAACACCCTGCCTGCCTACTGCCTGTGTCAGTCAAACGTGTGTGTTGTGGTGACAATATGGTAGACATAATGAGGACGACACGGGAAATTCTTCTCCTGCAGGTTGCGTTCTTTCTTTCAAAACTGTGTATTCTGTCGGCAGAAAAAGTTTTAGGAGTTGAGAACTCGGAATTTGACTTTGATGGTCTGCCGGGCGCGCAACACGAGTTCAAAGTTGACATTCCAGGGAGTACAGAGGATTGCTTCTTTCAGGCCGTGTCAGAGGGCGCTCAGATGCACGTGAGCTTTGAGGTATGATTATGATGCTTTCTCTTTCTCAACTCTTTCTTTGCTTGTTGGAAGGACTTCCGTAAGGAGGGACCATTCCAACAAACAAAGAGGAGACCTTACCCTAACACTCACGCTTACCGTTACCCTTACCCCAACAAACCCTATCCCCATACCTTTTTACCCTCTTTTATACTCTGTTTCATAGTCGTTCTCGTTTTGGAATTCCTCCCATTTGTTTGTTTGTTTGTTATAGTAAAGAGAAGCACATTGACACAGTGATGGTCAGCTAGAGTGAGGGAAAAATCAAGACAAATAGACTGAGACAACAAGGGAAAGGGAAAGAAAAAGGACTTAAAAAATTAAAAGTGACGCACTCCAATCACCCTCTGTTTTTACGTGCTTCATTTTCGTACTCTGAGCATGTGCAATATGTTCGAACACGCACATTCGTAGATATACACGCATGCACGCTGACCGCACGTACAATCACAAACACTCACTTATACACTCCCC